TCAGATTTGGGCGTTCTTTTTATGGACGCTCTCGGTTTAACGTATTCTACGACTTTCGTTTAGATCACTAAGGGTAAAAGTTGCTCTTTCGTAAATTCACTATTTACGCTTCCCGGTGTCGCGCCGGTTCCGTCGCGAAACTTCGACGGGTCATAACTTCTTCGTTATAACTCGGATTTCGGCGTTCTTTATATATCCAGAATCCTTGTTTCGACCACTACAACTTTATGTGAAGACATCGGGTTTATCTCACACTTTAATTTTGACGCTTATTTTTATTCTTTATTTATTAGATATTTATAAATAAGTAATAAGCACATAAATGCATATAATTCACATAATACTCAAATAAATCATCTTTAGTACCTCAAAAAGAGTTACAATAGTTGACCTAGACTATTACATCATGTAATAATGCTTAGCCCCGAAACGCGGGCATTACAGCTGGCTGACAGATTCCCGAATCTGTCAAAATCAAAATAACATCCAATTAATAGTTAGGTCCCAACTCATATCCATAAGTCCATGCTTGGGGTAAAAGACTACTTTACCCCTAACTTAGCTTGATTCAGGTCCAAAGCCTAATCCAAAGGCCCAAAGGTCAAACTGTGAATCAAAGCCCAACATATGGCCCAATTTTCCAAATTGGGCCCAAAGCTTCACATGGTCTCATTCTAAGGCCTAACCATTTATTCCAATCCAACATTTGACATTCTAATGGCCCAATATCATATAATCATTAAGGCCCAAACTATGGCCCATCTATGACCCAATTTTCCAAATTAGACCCAAACCCTTATATGAGCCTCACCCTAAAGCCTATCAACATATTCTAGTCCATATGATTATTCTTGGATGGCCCATTAATAATCCAATTACCAAAGCCCAATAGAAAGGCCCAACACAAAGCCCAAGTGAAATTAGGGTTTCGCATAAAATGATAATTAGGGTTAAGTGTTTCTCACTTAACCCATTAAGGACTTAATCCATTAAGTCCATTACTCTACTAGATAAGTCATATGGTGTGAATGGGTATAATTTCCAATCCCTTTCCAATGGCCCAAATGTGGGTCCCGATAGGTCCAAAGCCCATATGTCCAAAATTAGGGTTTTCTCAACCCTAATTAGGGTTTCCAACCCATTCATAGCCCAATAGGCCCAAAACCAAGTCCTTAAGCCCATTAGGGTTTCCTTAGGTCAATTAGGGTTTTGCTAGGCCCATTAGGGTTTCACTAGTCGGGCACCACCTACTACCACCTCAGGTAGTTGTGGTCAACGGCGGCGGCCACCACCCCACGGTGGTGGTTAGGGTTTCTAGTCCATTTTGTCCAAGCATCATAAAATCAACTACACACAAGCTAAAACACACCGCCACCCAACACGACAGTTGGTGGCGGTAGGAGGCGGCAGCCACCACCCTACGGTGGTGGTTTGAGTTTCTTTTCATTATTCTTTTACCGGTTACCATATTACAATGAAATTCCCAAAAATCAACACACACCCTACGAAACACACACACACATACACACAGCCACCTAATGGTGGCCGGCGGTGGCGCATGGCGGCAGCCCCCACCTCACGGTGGTGGTGGTGGCTGATCTTGATTTTTCCGGCTAGACCAACACACACAACGCGCACTAATACAAGCACACATACCAAAACACCTTCACGTGAACGTAACCGCTGCTGGTCCCTCCTCTCGGTGGTGGATCTCGACCGGATAATCGGAACATAGGTTGAACTAGCGGTGGCGGCGGCAGCTAGCTGCTGCGGGATGAGCTCCGAAGCGGGCGCTGGTTGGAACGGCACCGACAACAGTCGGGTGTGGCTGTGAACCACGACAGAAAAAGAAGAAGAAGAAGAAGAAATGGTGGCAGCGACTCCTCCATGGCTCGTTTCTACGGCAAGGAAGGTCACGGCGTCCAGCGGTGGGCGCGTATTCCAGCAGCAGCAACCACATCGGCATGGTGGCTGTGATTCGGCCCTCTCCACGACGGACTGCACAATGTCCTCCGCCGGTCTTCATCTTCAGTCACAATGGAAAAAGGGCGACGACGGCACTTGGCTCGACGGCTAGCAAGATCGACACGGTGGTGGTGAAGCCGAAAAATAAGAGAAGGGAAGGCGGCGGCTGGTGGGAGGCATAAGGGTGGGGAGATGGCGGCTGATATGGTTCCCTTAGGGTTAGGGTTTCGTGTGCTTTTAAATACCCGACACTTCCAAACTTATTGCCATAATGACGCAAATGGCCCCTCACTTCAGAATAATTTTTGAAACTAACCCCTTAATTTACCCTTTCAGCCCTTAGCCTTAAAATTCATTACAAATCAAGTATAATAGTTACCAAACAACCCCTCTCTTCAAGATCTTTTTCATTTTACAAATCCAGAAATTACCTTTTTTAACCCCAAACTCTCAATTATGACATGTTTAGTCCTCCCTCCTCTTTTTCCTTTCAAATTACATCCAAGTTTACCCAAATAGTCCCTCCTCTACAAAGCAATTTCGATATAAGTCCAAAAACTACAAAACGATCCCAATTGATTATCCTTTAGCCATGCGTTCAAATATTCTTTCCACTACGAATCCCGAAGGTACTCCTTACACCTCCAAAACCAAATATAATGCCAGACACACACTTATTCCTATTTTAAAAAAAAAATATAAACATGAACCAGAATAAAATAATACTTAAAACACATCTTCGGATTTTAGGGTTTCTCTTGGAAACGGGGTGTTACACACAATTTCTCCCAACAGGCACGCATACCCTCTCTTCAAAAGGTATCATCCTCAAAAATGATCAATAGCAGATCATCTGCATACATTGTTTCATTTCGACGGAAAAATAGAGTCGGTGTCGAGTCAAATACATAAGTTTTGAACTATAAAGGGGATAGTCTAGTTTTGATTATTGAGAAATGATTGATGGCTACATAAACATGTAGAACTATTATTTCAATGAGAAAATATTTTGACCTAACAAGAACAAAGAGGACAGAATTCCTATTTCAATTTGAAGTCTTCTACTTTGGATTTTCAAAATACGAAGTGAACTTTAATCACAAGAAGGAAACAGGTCCTATTCGCTGTTCTTTTTAATAAACATTTCCATCATATAATCGATGATTTGGGGCACCATTTCAGTACTTGGAGGTGTACAACAGATCAATTGAAGATCCTGGTGGCTTTTGGTCTGATATTGCATCAGAATTCTATTGGAAAGAGAAATGTGGTCAACAGGTTTACTCAGAGAATCTTGATGTTACAAAAGGGAACATCAAAATTGAGGTAAACAATACTTTTATCTTTCTAACATCTGCCTCTTTCATCTTGTATCACACACCTAATCAGCCATTGGTCATTCCTATCTATCTACTCAGTGGTTCAAGGGTGGCATCACCAACATCTGTTATAACTGCTTGGATAAAAACAGAGTCTGGGAATTGCGATAAAGTTGCACTTCATTAGGAAGGAAATGAGCCTGATGTTGATGGCTCATTAACTTACAGACAACTGTTTGAAAGAGTCTACCAGGTATGATGCTTTTACATACTGTCATATTGAGTATACATATTGAGTATACAAATGGGTTAAGATCACAGAATATTACTTACTAGAGAAACCACAATAGTAGCTTTATAAAGCTTTTGCAAACCAAAAAGCTCTTGAGAAATGAAAAAGCTATTGGACGAGCTTTTTCAAAGAACTTGTTAATTAACAAGCTCTTGCAATGAGCTTTTTTAATTATTGTGTAGTTCCCATATTGTAGATGCTAGTCATTACACTTACATGCCACATAGACGCCATGTCAGCAAAACTTAGTTGTATACCTGTTAAGAAGTGACCTACTTGTAACATTCCTGTAAGTACAATGACTTAGTACGTATGAAAAAAGGTAGGACAAATCAAAAAAGTACATTGCAATCCTATGACCTTAATTGTTATTAAATTGTTTTCTTTTCCAGCCATTTTGATAAATTTGGTGAAATTACGGATTTGTACATGCCCAAGGTACAAAATTTTTTATATTTTCTTCTGTTAATTTGTTTTATAGGAACTTAATATTTTATTTCTTTAGGATCCAAGTACCAAAGGGCATTGTGGAATTGGTTTCATTACTTTTGCAATTGCTGGTAATTCCATTAAAGATTGTAAAATTCGTATTCATTAATTTTTAGTTTTTCCCAGTTTACCCTTTTTGGGATTCTTTATGTTTTAGTACTAATAGTCTAATGTTTTTTGTTTTTGATATAACTAGGAGAGGATTGACCACCTACTCTATCCTAATCCTGGATAAGGAATGATACATGAACATCTTCATTTTTTCCATTTTCTTGGAATTATACTCGGAAAGGTAAGCTAAATGCTATTTTGTATTCTTAGGATCATTAGTAACTTCATGCAATTAGTTATACAAATATTTTTATGATTATTATGGTTTCCAATGTGCTCCATATGTTGAGTGGTTGTTTTCTTTCAATAATTACTGAATTTTTTTAGTTTCATAAAGTTATCTGCTTTTAATTTTGGGATTGTTGGACTTTTGAATTTATTATGTTATGCTCTATATTAGCATAGCTTTCTTTCATCTTTTAATTCCAAATATATAGTTCACATGCATAATCTTGTATATTTGGGAGTACCTTGTATTAACCTTATCTGTTCTAGGGCACATTTTAAAATCATTCAATGCAAATTGAACTTCTTCATTTGTATATCGAACAATTTATCTTTATTATAAAACTTTATGATGAATTTGTTATTCATTGATTCATTCACCCCTCCTTGATGTTGTATGCAATGTTCGAAGGGATTCTTGTTGTTATACCATTTGCAACTTTTTTCTTGATCAAACTAAAGCAAAAGTAAGTTCTTCAAGGCACCCTTTACTTATATAACCAATTAACCATGTTGTCTTTATCTTTTCATGTTAACTACATTTTCAGTCCTCCTGCTATTTAAAAGTTCCATGTATGCATACAAATTTCACACTCAAAGGGAGTAATTTGTTAGCATTCCATATCAACTTTCTGTTCAATACAAACAAAAAGTAATTAGGCATAATAGAAATAAAAAAAGACACAAGAAAGTAGTCAAATTATTGGTTTGACTATGATGACTATTATCTTTAAATATGATAATTAAAATAATGGGATGCCCTTTGCAGAAATTTTTGATGTTTCCCTATTAATATAGTATAATTTTTGGGCTTCTTTCACAGGAGAGTAGTTTTTTGAATATTCTTTTTTTTTAAACAGAGAATTACTGAACAAGCTGGTGTTGTTTTGACACTTGACCCTAAGCCAATTGAGGTAATCAGTAATCGAGTTTTTGTGTGTTGACTTTTTTTTTTATCAGATATTATAATTTACATTTTATTTATTTATTTATTTTTTATGTTGGCAGGGAGACTGGAATGGAGCAGGATACCACACTAACTACAGGTATTTGTTTTTTAAATTTATTTTTGGTTGGATGGAATGGAATGAACCTTTCCATTCCATTCCTTCCCTGATTCCATCATATACCAAACACTACCATTTTTCTTACATTAAAATTCACTTCCATTTTCATTTCAATTTTTACAGCACACTAAGCAAAAAGGCGATTCTCAACCTTTCCCTTCGCCACTCAGACCACATCAGCGCTTATGGTGAAGGAAATGAAAGAAGATTGACAGGAAAACACGAAACTGCCAACATCAACACATTTTCATGGGTATCTAAAACCATAAAATAAAAATTTATACCAAATTCAAAAAATATAAAACCAATAAAAATTCATTCTTTTAAATATCATTCATCTGACAGGGTGTTGCTAACCATGGTTGCTTAATCCGTGTGGGGCGTGACACTAAGAAGGCAGGCAAAGGTAAAATATAATTTTACTCAATCTTCTTTATTAAGTTGTTCTTTCTGTATTAAGTCAAAAAGAAACACATTTATATATAGCTTAGTAATTAAATTGAGAACGACTTAATGAATGTTTTTTCATGGTTTGTTGTGTGTAGGTTATTTGGAAGACAGGCGTCCAGCATCAAACATGGATCCATACACAGTGACTGGATTACTTGCATAAAATACTCTCCTGTGGGAGCCTACTCTTGAGGCTGAAGCACTTGCTGCTCAGAAATACCTTGTTTTTTTATATATTTTTTGGTCGGAATCGGAATTCAATTCCATTCTTGTCCTGTATTTAGTTCGCCTAATTCCATGGGAATCGGAATCCAATTCCATTATGAAGCAATGGAGTATATGTATGTGGAAATGCAAAATATGAGACGAAATTGAGAATATGGTAAACATTGATATTTGATGTTTTTGGATGTTTTGTTAAACTTTGATATTTGATATTGGCATTTTAATATTAGTGTTTGGTTTTGGATTGTATAATTATTTGATTCCTTTGGTATTAATTTGTTATTGTTTAGTTTGGGATTGTATAATTATTTGATGTTTTTAGTATTTTTTGTAATAAAAAAATTAATATTATACATTTGCGAGGGATCAACGACGGAAACAAAAAAATCACATCTAAAATTTGCTAGTGATCAGCTACGGAATATAAAAAGACAAATATAGAGCTTTGCAAGGGATTAGCGACAGAATATTTTTGTTGTTGATGTCCTAAATAACGGTATTATGGGACCAATTTGCGATGGATATTCCGTTGCTAAAATCGTCGCAAGGAAAAATTTGTCTGTCGCTAAATCTCTATCTAAGTCATTAGCCACGTTTTATTTGGCTATGGAGTAACTCTGTCACAGATCCGTCGCAAATGACCTTTAGTGACGGAATGACGGCGGATTCAACCGTCGCAAAAACCCATGTTTCTAGTAGTGTATTAATATAATAGAGCTTAAATGTTAGTCAACTCTCTTCCCGCTCTCTCTCTCCTCATTACGTGGTTGGTGGTTTATTTCAAAAATCAGGAGCTGCCAGCTTGCAACATGAGTATTATATAAAAGTATCATGTGCAAAACTTCGACTAGCGGAGGTGCCAGCTTGGATGAGGGTATTATAAAAGTGGCATGTGCTAAACTTCGACTATAGTATTGTGGGGTGGTGTATATTGTCTCCTCACCAATAAAATATAATATATAGATGCTCTTCACTACTAGAAAACTAGTGCAATAGCTACAGCACAATCTGTAGTTATTCCGTAGCTACAAACGGATAGCTACGGAAAAATGTCTGTAGCATAATGGCCCGTGGCTAAATTATAGCTACGGATTAGCTACTATCATAGCTACGGAAATAAATTGCTACGGATTTCCTACAGAATAGCTACGAAATTGAATAGCTACGGAATAGCTACGGAAATGAATAGTTACAAAATAACTATGGAACTAAATAGCTACAGAAATCGGTAGCTATTCCGTAGCTAACTTCGTTTTATTTAAAAAAAAAATTAAAAAATTAAAAATTTCCAATTTTTTGTCAAATGTCACATTCAGTTCACATTTATCCCAAATACCATAAAAAATACACCAAAAAATGTCGCTAATACCAAATTTGACACATTCCATTCCATTGTTCCAAAATATCATACAAAAGTAAGCACTAATTAACAAAACAAACAATACCAAATGTTTACAAATTCAATTGTTCCAAAATACTTATCAATTGTCCAGACATATTCATCATCCTCATAACCATTTCCATTTGTTCTTTCATTTGTTGTTGTTGTTCCATGGTAGAAACTTATGCATTCAACCTATCAACCTAAAAAATGGCAACACAATTCAATACTTAAACAATATTAACAATGTACTTTAGTTTATTAAAGCAATGCATTTTTGTTTAGAATACTTATAGCAATATACTTAACTTTTAACAATAACAACAACGTAATTATGTTTATTATCAATTAAATCAATATTATCAACAAACTATCTAACTTTTAACCATAAAAGCAACGTACTTTTGTTTATGACCGACAGGAGATTAAAAAAAACATTTCTTTTTTATTTTTTGGAAAGCAAAAAGATAACAGGATGAGGTAAGTACCTGCAGAAATGCAAGCACCATAAGACTCAACTCCCTTGATCCATCTACCCATTTTACAAGCAGGAAGAGTAGCAAAATTAAGTTTGGAGCTTTCCTGTAGCAATTTTCATAAGACTTGTTATCATTCATTGTATTTACCAAAACCATACCAAACACTAAAACCTAATAATTTAATTGTAATAAATCAGAAACTGAATCAAAAATACAAAAACACTTAAACCTACTTATTTGAGAATGCAGGGAATAATAATCAATTTAAGCGTTTACTCAAACACCCATAAACAACAGCATCGCTTGGCTGTGAAAAGAAACAAAAATCAATGTTCTTAGTCTTGTTTGGTAGCCTAATAACTGGATTCAATTCTTAGATTGATACCAAAATTTGAAGGTTTACCTTCTTCAAAGAAAGCAGAGAAAATCGAGTAGAGGGAGGCAGCAATAGAGGCGGATAATGTGAAGAATGACAGCGGGAGGAAAGCGATGGCGACAAGGTGGTCGATTCCGATGAGATTCTTCTTCTTCAAGCGCTGGTGGCAGCGTCGAGGTGGACCTGTGATGGTGGTTTTCAGCGAAGCGGTGCTTAGAAGGGCGGCGACATTCCCGATTTTAGGGAATAGAAAGTGGGGGTGACCGGAGCTAAGAATAGCGACATCTACTTACAGCATTGTCAGCGGCGGCGGCGTCGAGAAGGAACTTCCAGCAGAGTAAGCTTCATCGACTGGAAAATGGAGGGAGGATCGAAGGAGCGGGTGTGAGTGGGAGGTGCGAGTAGGGAAATTGTGAAAGAGAAGAGGAAAGTGAGAGGGTGATTGGGAATACTTTTTAAAGGACTTTTGCTTTTAACTTTTTTTAAAAAGTTAAAAAGATGTTTGGAAGATGAAAAAGTTCTTTTCAAAATCACTTTTTGTAAAGAAGAAAAAAATGGGTTTTCAAAAGTCATGAAAGTGTGACTTTTTGTAACTTTTGAATTTTTAAAGCTAAATCACATTCAAAAGTCAAAAAATATTACCCAAACACTTTTTAAAAACAACTTTTGGCTTTTGCTTCTTCCAAAGAACTTTTACAAAAAGAACTTCCGGGCTTAAAAAGTAATCCCAAACACCCCTGAATCGAAATAGAGGAAAGCGGGAGATTAGAAATTTTCATCTATGGATTGATAAAAAAATGGAGGCGGGCAAAAAAAAATGTGAAAACCTAAACTCAAGACAGCCAAAAACAAATATGAAAAAGAAAGTTAAAGTAGGATTCGAACTCGTGCCTAGTCTAGGAATAACTAATGGGTCTACAAAGTAGCCGAGAATGCCACATCCATATTTATTTTGTCTACTATTACTTTTGTCCATTTTCGTGTTTGTTTTATTATTATTACTAGTTTATAACCCGTGGGAGCCACGGTTACAAAATTAATTAAATTTTTATAGTAAAAACTCAAAAATTTTAATTAATTATTTTAAATAAGTTATTAATTAAGAGATATTTTTAGTTATATAAATTTTAATCATTGATTAAAATAAATATGTGAAATTATATTTTATAATTTGTATTAATTTTATTTTAATTTTTATTCTAATGTTATTAATTTAATGTAGTTAGAGTGGGAAATTTAAAATTTGAAAATTGAAATGGAGTTGACAAGTGACATTCATTAATTAGGAGACATAATAAGGTGACACATGGCAAAAGGAGAATAAAATATGCATTAATTAGGATGCCTAATAGAATGACACATGTCAAAAGGAGAATATAACAATTCTTTTATTAGAATAGGGATTATTACTACAACTATGATAAATTAAAATAATATAGAAATTAAAAAAAAACTTAATCAGTAATCATAATTCTACAAAAATTTATTTGTATAATTTTGTTAACAATTATATGTATTGAGTGATTTTATTAGCGTTGAAATATACCGGTGGTATTATCAGTTATTCGATGGTTCCTGTTTGTTAAAGAAAGCAAAATGAAAATACATAAATAGTCATTTT